CCCGGCGATGCTAACTAGACAACACTTCCCCTTCTACGATTTTCCATTGTTTGAGACCTTCTTAACCTCCGAATTCGATTCCGTAAAAAGTCCCGATTTCAGAATTTGAAACCCTATGATTATATAACATTCTTAACAACCTATAACATTATTTTAAGGTCCTAACATCATAATCGATTAAGGATTCATTCATTCAGCACATGGTTTTTCCCAATTTCATCAATCCTTATCAAATTCAACACACATAGCACAAACCTATCACACCTTAATCCGATATCAATCATAATAAAAGCGATTAAACCCCTTACCATATTTCTTGTCAATCAATCTCTTTCAAGCTCCATGGGATGAATCTTTATGCTCTTTCTGCCTCTTTGTGCCATAGACTTCCTTTCTCATTGGCGTCAGTTTTCACGATCGTACAGAATGATCGTATAAACTCTCAAACCTCTTCCTTATACCAAAATTAACCTTTGGACCCCTAATATTGGTCTTCCCATCATGTCCTCACTTATACCACCTTACTTTACCATTTAGCCCTTCTTGTTTCTACACCATAATTTCCTTTATAATAATTCTAAATATTATTATTAAATCTAATAAATCCCAAATATTTATTTAAATTCTAAATAATTATAAACTAATCAAATACTCCTCATATTTATTATTCCAACACTACCCCACAATATATCATCACTAAACATCGTGATACATCATATAAATCATAATAATTCCTAAATAATTCCAAAAAACTAATTAAATAATTGATTATGATTTTTGGGATGTTAAACATGCTCTCACGAGCAGAGGAATACTGGAGTAAAGGGCTCCACCGGGAAGCTCTTCTCTATAGAATGCAATAGGGATAGAGCTCCCCCTGACTTTATCAAGGGTGGCACTCTTCTCGGAGCTAGCATCTATGAGTTGCTCGAATCTTCTCTTGGCCGAGCCTACGGTACACTTGTTGAAGCCCCCGTCGGATATGACTATTGTCGTTGGAAATGTCTCCCAAGGGCTATGGGTTGCAAAGTATAGAGGGACTTCGTCCAGGTTAGGGAAGTAGAAATCTTAGGGCCTGGTTCAAGGCGACAGGTATGAGGCTCAAATCATGGAAAGGCTTCTCTTCTTCCACGTTCTTGGATTCCTAGGTGTCTTTATGGTCACCCTCCTTATTTTTATACTGCTTAAGATGCCCATCTCGGATGAGTATCTCGATGGCATCCTTCAGGTGGATGAAGTCGTCTGCATTGTGCCCGTGACTTTTATGAAACCGACAGTACTTGCTTTTGTCCATCTCATGTTTGGATGATGTTTGACATGGAAAGTGTACCCCAACTTGCTTGAACTCTGAGTTGGCACATTCTGTCAGAATCCTCTCGCGTGAAGTATTGAAGGGGGTGTAGTCGTGGAAGCGACCAGATGGCCCCCTGTAGTCTTTTGAATCATGGAATTTTTCCTCCCTCTTCTCCCCCCCCCCCCCTAACGGGACGTCGAGGTATCTTCATTCTTTGAGACTTTCGCATTCTCACGATGTCGCGAGTCTCTCGCATTATTAGCAGCCTCCTTCTCCTCATATTGGACGTACGCTTGTACTTTGAGCAGAAGGGAATCCTGCTTTGGCGAAATCACTACGAGGGTTCAAGCCTTGCTTGAGGAGATACTTCTTCATTTCCTCGATCGTGGTGACCTGGACGACTTCCTGGTTGAACCTTTCAATGTATGCTCGGAGGGACCCATCCTACCCTTGGATGATGGCCTCGAGCATTGCTTTTGACTTGGGATGTCGACGGGATACCGTGAGATTCCTTGAGAATTGTCTTCCCAAGCCCTTCCAAGAGGTGATGGAATCATCAGGGAGGCTCTTATACCAAGCCATGGCTCCCTTTCTGAGTGTTGTTGGGAACATTCGACATTTGATGGCTCCTCGGCAACCCCTATAGTCGAGCAACACATCGATGTTTTTGATGTGCTCATCTAGATCTGTTATGCCATCGTATGTCCCCAAGTGTGGGGGTTTCTCAAGACCGATAGGAAGCAGGGTCTCCATGTTCTCTCTGGATAACGGGTCGTAGGGCTCATCATCATCGCTATGATTAAGAGATGCTGGCGGGGAATAGTTATTTCTTCCTTGTCGAGGGTTATCGTCCCAGTGGGGAGAGGTGCTTCTTGGATGTTGCCCCGACTTGGATGACAGGGAGCGGTCACAACCAAGCCTCTGGTCGCTCTTGGTTTTCTTATAGATCGGGGAGCGTCAATCTCTCCAGGAAGGTGTGCGACCTCGTTTCTTGAGGAAATACACTTCTTGCTTCTCTTGTACGGAAAGACGACCACGCCTTGGTGGTGATGGACTACAGGAGTCATCATGTCGGTGTCTTTAAGGATGAGACTTTGATTGCTTCTTCTCCCAGGCCCCAATCCTCTTGCTCTGTTGCAGAATTAGCGTGTTGGTTTGATTGAGGGAAGTGAGCAGTGTTGCCATGGCAGGGTCGACATTTGGTGGAATAGGAAATGGCTCGAGAATTTCTGGAAGTTCCTTGTTGGGGTTCTTAGACCTCTGATTGTCCAAGAACTAGAGGTTGTCGCGCTCAACATCGACCGAATCTGGGGACGCTTCTCGGCCATCCCTGAAATCGGGGACTTCCTCGAGATGAGGATGCTCTTAGCTTCCATCTGTCTTGTGGATGGGAGAGAGTATAGTCTTTCCAAAAAGGTAGTGGTCATGGTCAACCATGACAGAATTAGTGAAAGTATCTTTGGTATTCAGTTTTGAGGAAAAAGAAGACGAAGAAGATAGGTTCCCATAGACAGTGTCACTGATCTTACCAGTTGATAAGAACCTGAGGTTAGCTGAAGAGATGACGTCTGCATGGCTAGAAATATAGGGAGACGAGTGGGTGTACCTGCAAGGCACTCTGACAATCTAGTGAGAAAGAGTGCAAAGAAATACAAGTAAGAGATTAGGTTTTTTAGAATGAATATTAGATATCTGGCCCTCACAAGTGTGAGGGTTTATATAATGCCCCCAACGCGTAGCCATTGGTTCTTATTTTTGGGCCTAGATATTTGGTTCCTCAAAAATAGGTAACTTCCAGATCTTGGTCAAAACGGGCAGTCATGCCCATAACTAGTCGTTGCTCCGAACAAGGATGAGATGACAGACAAACCATTGTGAGCGCCTTCCTGTTGACTTGCTTGATGTACAACGAGTAGACCTGAAGGTGGACATTGATGCAGGCAGACGTACGGTCAGAGCATCGTTATCCTCGATATTCTTATGGTGTAATCGACCAAGTGTGCTCGATCGAAGACCGGGATTAATGGACAAAAAGTGTTGGGCCACGCTGAAGCTAGAAGTGGATTAAGCCAATTCTAGCTATTGGACCAATACAAAACAAAATTATTCAAATATTTTTTATGCCCTATTTGATTTTCATAAACACAACCTTTAATGCAAGATGCAAAACTTAAAGTCCTAAATATATAAACAAGAAGGTCCTAATATGAATGGATGACAAAATTCAAATTGACTCTAATAATCTCATCTACATAAGCTTAATATACTAATGAAGACAACCCAAAGACTAAATAAAATGCTATGCATAAAAGGATGATAACTAGGGATGCAATGTATTAAATCAAAGGTTGATTTTCTTTTGATTTTATTGAATGAATGAGAACTAATGGCCATGTATGCTAATATGAATGTTATGAGCTAAACAAATGAAATCTAAATTCACATAAACTTAATAATATGAATAAATAGGGGTAAAATTGGAGTATGACACCAAATTCATATTGACCTCTTTGAAAGATATAGATTCTGATAACCTGACGAGTACAACATAGATGTATAATACAAGATCTACATAATACTCTACCATTAAAGGTCTATTTACAAAAATGCAACATCTCTTAAAACTAATTCATGATGAGAAATACATGGTTGCCAAAAATAGGGAGGAATTGAATGTTATTGTTAATATATTCTAGAAACATCATGCTTCTTGAAACTGTTGAACATCTTTTATTTAGTGTTTATCTTTGATTGTACATATAAAATCAATAAGTATCGACTCTCACTACTTGAGATCGTTAGTATTATGTCAATAAAATCGACTTTTTCAATTGGATTTGCCTACTTGAAACATGAAAAGGAGCACAATTTTCACATGGTCATTGGAGAAGCTGAAGGAGATGTTCACATCTGATAAGTTGTTTTCGAAGGTCATGGTAACAAATCAGGAATTTGATATTTATACAAATTTGTTATCAAGACCTACTTATATAACTGAGTCATCCAATTCCATCACATTAAATTATATAGTTCTATGAGTCATCCAATTCTATGACATTAAATTATGTTGTTCTATGAATTATCCAATTCTATCACATTAAATTATGTAATTCTACGAGTAACTCTCTGATTTCACCACCAATCTCTTAATCATGTGACATAGCCAAATCGACGGTCGAGACCATTGAATGGTTTAGGTTTAAGAATCAAGAAATAATTCTTATGGGTGTTGGAAAAATACTTGCCAAAAAATTGTCAACAAGTAACATTCAAAGTCGAGAATTGAACACGTTTCATTGAACTCCCATGGCCATCTTCAACCGTTCACATTATGCATCCTCCTTTACTAAAAAAGACAAACTCAAGAATGCACATTGCAAATGCCATTGAAAGTGAAATTCATGTCCATGTCCAATATTGTCATCGAGTATCATTTGCAATCAAAAAAGCCCAAGCCCAACGAACCGTGTTATCCACGTCAGTGACACGCAAAGTCGTTATCTTTCAAAAAAAGAAAACCATTAAAAAAAATTAAAAAGCGTGTAACAACGAAAGAAAACCCCACAAAACGCCACGTGTACGTTCTTATCCTTTAGCCCTTAGAACACGCTATAAAAACACAATGGTTTAGAACAAATGAACAATTCCAAACCCTAACCATAAACCAAACCGTTATAACAGAAAATAAATATCTCAGATTCTAAAAATGGCTTCTTCTATGATCCCCATTCGCGCCGTCGCAATCCAAGCCTGTGCTGGTTCCGGCAACCGCATACCAGATCCCGATCTCCGGAAAAACTCTTCCTCCACCAACTGGTGGACCCCGCTGTTCGGGTGGTCATCAGAGCCGGACTATATAAACTCCGACAACAAAGCACCAAACCCGCAGTCGGAATCAGATCCGACGTTGAAACCGGCGAAGCTTCGCTTCACCGGTGGTCTCACGGAGGAGAAGGCGAAACAGCTTCGAATGATGACCACCGACTCGTTTCATGATACCATGTATCACTCTGCCATCGCTTCCCGACTCGCTTCCGACTTCAAGGCCCGCTCCGATGAGTAAACTTGCCGGTGCCGGAATGTTCCATTTCAGTATTTCACATCACATAGCATGTACTATTTGTTTTTGTTGTAGTTTTTTTTTATTGTTATTCATATTTTAGTTTTTTGTTTTAAGATCCAGATTTATTGGCTTGTTTTTTAATATCCAATTTTTTGGACTTTGTTGTAAGCATGGACCCTAAACTAATGTATTATTAGGGTTAAGATAGTTCTTAATCTCATCTGATTCAATCATTGTATTTGTAAATATATAATAATTTTGAAATATTCATGTATGTGTTTCAACTTTACTCTATGGATTTTTCATTTTGCTCATTTATTTATTTATTTATTAAGTTGAGTGTGGGACTGGAGGATAAGGATGATAATGTTTCAAAAGTTAATAAAATATCTTGCCCAAACGTGACCACTTTGTTCCCACTAGGACGACATTTGCGTGAAGAAACATTAATTTAAGATTATTGTTCAACTTGACTGAAAGAAAGAGTAACGTTTAGATTTGGAGTGTGTGACACGGGATGGGATCTGAGTATTTTAAAACGTTAAATAGGGAATATGACTTGTGTGTCTGAATCTATCCGATAAGGTCATTATAGTGTGTCGAAATTAAATAAATCTTGTCTTGAAACTGATTCTGGTGATAATTCTTTTTAAAGACTAAGAGAAGATATTTGTAGCATGTAGCCTCATTTTTATTAAAGTATTTATTTTTTATTTATGGTTAAGTATTTGGTGATGTAGTTTATTAATGAGGTTATATCATTGGATTCCTGTGGTTTGTTAGTGTGTTAATGGATTATCTTTGGATTGCGGGGTTACAAATCTCTCTAAATTCCTTTGAATATGGGGAAATGTTGTTTCCTCTTCTTGGACATCTTTAAAGTGAGTGTGCATAAGTTACATCTTTGTGTGTTTACTATCCTCTTGCTAGTTGTTACTGAAAAGTTGAAAGAATGATTGTGCGCGTGAACTGTTCGACGAAATGCCTCAAGGAATATAGTTTCGTGGGGCACCATGATAACGTGTTATAGCCATGCTAAATTATGTTGTGAAACTATGGAACTCTCTTTAACGAAATGATTAGCTTGAAACTTGTTCTATGAGTATATAATTGGTGTCAGTTCTCTCTGGTTGTGTTCAGGTGGGGGAGCTAGAACAAGATAGGTTTGTTCATGATTACATTATGAGATCCATTTAAAATTCTTGACTCGAAGCTGAGAGGAATGGCTGAACCTATTATTATGCTTGAAATACTACAAGTTCTAGCTGTGTCAATTTTGTGTGTCAGCACAAAAGCTTATGATCGTCCAACAATAAAGCATATTGTCGCAATGCTCAATCAATTTCGATATTTTGTTTCAAATGCATTGAAGACAGTTTCAGTAGTTGCCAACGTAGCTTCACGGTTCTTCACAATACCACTAACATCATCAATATCAAAAGACCAAATATTAGCTTTGAAACTGTAACCATTATGAGAATGAATAACCTAAGGAGCCATCTAATAAGGTGTTCCAGCAAAATCAGTAAACATAAGAGAAGAAGAGAATTGGAAGATGAAGATGAATAAGAAGAACAAGCTCCTACAGAGTTGTTTGATTCATACATGGAAGCAAAAACACCAAAATCATCCAGTTTGACTAATCCATTTGAGTGAACAATGATGTTACTATATTTGATATCTCTATGAGGATGACCTTGTCCATGAAGGTAAGAAAGATCAATGAGAGTGTCTTAGAGAATAGCAGCTATGAATTGTTCTGTTAAGCCATTTTGGAAAGAGTGAGAGATTATTGATTGTTATGAACCTCATGTCATAAATGGCATAACCACCCAAAGAGTAAAGACGATGGTCGACTGTGAAGGAACAAATAGCTTTGAGGATGTTGGGATGAGAAAGAAGTGATAATGTCTTTTCTTCGCGTTGAACATCGTCGAGGTCAGGGCGTGAACGATCTAAGTCTATGGATTTTATAGCAACTGGTGTGGAGTTTATTGTGATGCAGATTGCTTTGTATACGACAGCGCTGTTACCGACGCCAATCTCGTTGATGATCTTGTAGAAGGAAGAGTCTAATGGATATTGCACCTTTCTGCTATGTTGCTTGCCATGGAAGTTTTCATATAGAGTTGAATATGAGAGGTTGAAAATTGAATTGGTTATATACTTGTTCATACGGGGCAGCGTCTTGTAACAATTTTTTTTTTAAAACTGGTTATTTCTTAAAATTGAAGGTGCTCATCAAGTTTACTATTTTCAATGTGCATATCACTTCTATATTTTTGTTAAGATTCAAATTCAAACTGTAAGTGGTATATTCATAATCTATCTTTTCTTTGTTTGAATTTATGGCTGGACACTGGTATATGCTTTCTTGCTAAATTGGTTTATTCTGAAATGCTATAGTATGTGATAACACATTCAAAATTGGAAAGCCTTTAAATTCATATGAACCGGACCAGCAGTTTCCATGGTAACCGCAAAATATCATTCTCTTCCCAAAGTGTGCAAGGAGTCATTGCGTAGTCTTCAACCGTAGCATTACTCTGAGTCTATGATATTATCAAAGTGGTGTTCAGAACACTGTTGTTCGTTCAAGCATTTCGTCGAACAATTTGCGAATATTTTCTGACTTTTTTTTATTGACACATGAAAGTGAAGTTTTTAGCCTACTGACTATCATGTAAATGGTGCACTTCAACTCTTCCTTCTATTTATCCAACCTACAGTACAAGTACTGTCAGTTTCAACCATCTAAAGTAATATTTTTGCAAATTTTCTTTAAAGAGAGATGCAATATAGATGTTTTAGGGAAATTTAAGATTAGTGTTAACGTTAAGATTTGGAAAATTTTCATGTGTTTGAGTCTTAAAGAGAGATTTTTTTCTTCATGGGATTTCACAACATGGTGAAGGAGAAGAAGAGGAGCAATATGAACAAGAGGAAGATCACTAAATTTAGGGAGGTTTGTGACCCCCACAATCTACTACTTTTTTTTAGTCAAAGCAAAATGTTGACTTTAAGTGATGTGGCATTGCCACGTCATCTTCCTTTATATCAAATAAATAATAGAGATTAAAATTGTTAACGAAAAAGTTTAGGAAAATATTTCTTTGAAAGAAATTTTTATAGAAATTAAAACTGTTTTTTAGAATATTTATAAGGACTAAACCGTTTTCTTTTTTTTTTCTTTCTTTTTTTTTTCTTCTTCCTCAAAAGCTTAATTCTAAAATTTGATTCTCTACTTGACTTATCATTTTTTTCTTTTTCCTACTCTCCTTCTAGATAGATTCTTCCTTCTCCTACTAATCAATATGGGAAAACATGTACACAGATTTTTCCACCAACCCTTCAAATTCTTATTATCATCACCTAAATAAAAATCCCTAATTAATTTGTTTTACTCTCTCCTTGACAAATGTAACTTCAATTCATGGTCAAGAGCCATGAAAGTCACACTCATATCGAAGAACCAATTTTGCTTCATTGATGAAATCTTTCCTCAACCATATCAAACACATGATTTATACTATCATTAATTCCACTGTAATAACATGTACTTTCTTGACTACAACATTCTATCTCTGAACCATTGCTCATTCTATCCTATAAATTTAACACTCAATTGGTTTGAAAAAAAATTGAAAAATAGCATCTCATAGAAAGTCATTTTCAAGATTTCAGAAGACGATGTTATCAATCTTCATCAAGGCAACTTTGACATATCTACCTATTTCACCAAATAAACTTCACTTAATGAGTAAACCAGCTCCTTTTTCTCTACTCATGATTGTACCTGCGTTATTCAATGTACCATCGTTGTCGCCTCTAATCTTCAAAAATACAAGGACCAAGATCGAATGATCAAATTTCTCAAGGGTGATGAGTGTCAAATTTACCTAAAATATGTAGGCACTTTGATGCCTTCTCAGCAAGTGTAACGATAGTGTCGAAGTAATAAAAAGACCGAATCCACAGGGACTGCTATTTAACAAGATAATTATCGTGTAATGTTTAGAAAATACTAAATGGAGGTCTTTTCGAGTTTTAATTGCAAAAAATAGTAAAGAATTGTTTTGACAATAATACGAAAGCGGTTAGGTTTTATATTGAATCCCTTATTTCTTTCATGTTGATGTTCGACGTATTACATGAATGATATTGTTGCTATAATTTCACAGGGAATTAACAAAACCACTATACTCAATCCCTTGGTGTATAGCTTATAATTTATACTCGTAGTTTTCTATCCCTAATCCACTAGTGTAAGCAAGATTAGGTGATGCAATAGTACGTTAATTCATAAGCCACTACTCGAGGCCTCCTATTCCTATTCAACCGGTGTAAGTATGACAATTACCCTAGATCTAACACATAGACTAATGGTAAGTATTCCTTACGTGCTCAAAATCAGATTAAAAGAGTATCTCACATAAAAAGCATTACGAACAAGAAGTAATTGAATTGAATTATAACTCAAATTATTCATGCATAACAAATCAAACATATGTCTCAACAGTAATTAAAATAGGTTCATCGTACAAAACCTAACCTAGAGAGATTTAGCTACTCAGAATGAATAAATTACAATACCAAATAATAATAATAATAAGAGGTTTGCATAAGCTATCACTTGAAGAACTGGCCTCAAATGGCTTCAAATGCACTCCAAATATGCTTCCTGGTATTGTAAATCGTCCCCTCCGGTGTAAAATCGCAGAATCCTTAAAAAAGTGCCAAAAACCCATTTATAAAGTTGTTAGCGGGCGTCAGAAATTGTCATAAAAGTGCCCAGAAAAAGCCCATCGCACACACAACAAGATGCATCGCGCGCGCTATGCAACTTGTCCAAGCCTATCGCGTGCGAGACTGGGCACGTGATGCACGCATGGTTTTTCCAGTACTGACATGCTTTTTGGTCCTTTTTAGCCATATTTTTTCCAAGTCTTTATTTCTTCATACTTTATTCGTTTTACTCCGTTCTTTGGTTGTTCTTCATCAAAATAATTAAGCTTTTGCTCGACTTTATCAGTTTCTTCAACTGAATATATGTAATGACTGAATGTCATCACAACTCCAAACTTAATATGATGCATTCCTCAAGTAACTTGCTTGCGACTAAAAATTCCAAACAGAAACACAAAAATACAATAGTTGAACATCACCATACTTATTTTTCCCTGATCACCATTCAAGCTTCTAACTTAAATCCATCAAAATTAGGAAATTTCTTCAACTTATAGGAAGTACTCAACATGTCTCTCGTCTCATTATAATTCACTCAATTGATAGTGAAATTCTGGTATGATAGAACTCAGATGTCCTATGACATGTCGAGACATCTGATATGACATAAACAAAACAGGCAAGGTATAAACATTAAAAACAGTATTGAAAAGTATTAAACAACACAAGAATTGTTAACTTAGTTCGGTGACAACAACACCAACTCTGGGGGCTACCAAGCCAGAAAGAAAATCGACTATCAGTAGTACTAATTCAAAGTTAAACTCCCTCATTTACAACTTATCACTTAATCTCTACCCAATACAACTTCTATCTAGGAACATCTAGATATGAGTATACCCACTCACTTCCAATCACCGCAATGATGTCTAACAGTCTCAGTCCCAAATATTGTATCGACTGTGTTTCACCTGAATGAATATCACACTTCAAATACAAACAAACACCTTAATCAAGACACCCCTTGATTAAGAACAACATACTTGATCTTGCTTCACAACTTTGATCAAGAACAATACCACATCTTGCTTAAAAGTTTCGAAGAGAGCAATAATAGAGACTACAACTCTATAATACAATGACTCACAATGTTAGAAAATAGATTTAACTAAATAATCCAATAAAATATATTTTGTATTTTGAATAACTAATTGGTAAACGTTAAGTCTACCACTAATTACTCGAGGATGTGAAATTCGATTACTGGTATTATGTCGAAATTAAATAGTTTTTGTATTTTTATAATGATATATTTTTTTAGAGAAATTAAATAAATAAATAAATAAAAGAAATAACTAAATTAAAGGTGGTGCTAAATTAACAAGGGGTGTCGCTATTAGATCAATATATGGCCTAAGGCCCGTTTCAATATTTGTTAAAGTTAATGATAAAAACTAAAAATAAACTAATAATAATAATATCAATAATATAAGTAACAATAAAACATGGAGAAAAATTACTAATCCCAAATTATCTCTTCCTCCCTCACGGTATTCCTTCTTCTATCTTCACAGTCCCTCTTTTTATTTTCTTTCCAAACAAAACCAACACCCATAAATTCCATACACAAACTCATTTAATCAAACATGTCTTAATCAAACCACATGAATAAAAAGAAGAATGGAAAACAAACCGGAGGATGCTAATGGAGAATGACTTTGCAAATCTGAGCAGAATCATGATAATTGCAAAGAGACGGTTGCGCTTGTCTCCGGATTTAAAGTGGAGACAGTCGGATCGTGGCAGTTTCGACGGTGGATCTTTGGTGACGTTATTGTTCTGTGCGAAACGGAGGGCTCTCATCGACGTTTGCACCGGCTAAGTTGCGTGTGTAGTTCTCGCTGTCAGACTCTAGATTTTTCGGATCTTATGGTGGTGTCGACGAAGACTGATTAATGGTGGGCTGGCTACATCGGTGGAGGGTTTTGTTTAGCATGTGATGTTTTTTTATAATATTGTTTTCCATGTTGTTGATTAAGACCGGCGGGTTTGTGGCCGAGCTGCTTCCTCTACCAGTTTCTTTAATTTGTGATATCATTTGTTTTTTCTCTTTGTTGGTAGTGATTGGATAAAGTAGAAATGAAATCTCATTAGAGATAAAATTCATAAACTCTGCAATTTATTAGTTGGCAATAGATACAATATATCAAATATTAGAGTAATAATGATATATGAATTGAGGAAGTAATGATGTTGTATATAAGTTTTGCAACACAAATTAATTTCAAGAAATAATTGGTTAATTTTTTCTAAGAACTAAATTAGGGATATTCTGTATATTTACAAAGATAATACTAACTAGTAACAAACTCGTGCTATCGCACGAGTCTCGTCTGGATTCACATTACATTTATAGATTATTAAATTATTAAGTATGTTACCATGTTTTCAGTTGAGTATATGTCTCATGTAAACCATGTTGACATTTAACTCCATATTTGTAGCAAGCGTCGGTCCTATCAACAAATCACGTCTGCATGAACAAATAGGAAAAATTATATACTTCTTGAAATACATGGAAAATGTACATACTATATATTTTAATTCAAAATAGATTTTTAATTTGAATCGTAAAGTATAAGATATAAAGTTTACCAACTATCAAAGTGCTTGAAAGACTTCCTTGTACACAACATTAGTAGTAGTAGAACACGGTACATTCTCCTTGTCATGAATTAGGATTTTTAGCCCACTTTTGCTCTTAACTCTTGAAATTGCAACATATAATTGACCATGACTAAACGGAAGGATTGGATTCCATATAAGGTGGCTGCGGATCTGTGCGTAAAGCAGAAGGAATTAGTACATTACCATCGAGAACTTACAATATACATTGTGAATACCTTCTTAACTCAAACAAATGCGGTGAGCTTGGCGGCGTCGCCGCGGATCTGCACGCAAAGCGCAAGGATTGGAGTTCGTGTAAGATGGTTGCGAATCTGTGCGTAAAGCAGAATGAATTAGTACAGTACCATCGAGAACTTATGATATACATTGTGAATACCTTCTTAACTCAAACAAATGTGGTGAGCATGGCGGTGTCGCCGCGGATCTGCAGGCAAAACGGAAGGATTGGAGTCCATATAAGGTGGCTGCGGATCTGTGTGTAAAGCAGAAGGAATTAGTACAGTACCATCGAGAACCTACGATATACATTGCGAATACCTTCTTAACTCAAACAATTGCAATGAGCGTGGCGGCGTCGCTGCGGATCTGCACGCAAAGCGGAGGATTGGAGTACGTGTAAGATGGCGGCGGGTCTGTGCACAACTCAGATGGAATAAGAGCAGTGGTTTTGTTTTCATATGTCCTTAGGCGTTTTTGTAATTTTGTTTTAAGGAGAGCGGGCTCGTTCAATGGTTTTGATTTTAGATATATAACTATTAAAAAATCCGTGGTATCATATGGGTCTTGTCCGAATTACATATAATATAGAACTAACTTTGAATTGTAATAGATCATTCTTATATATTATTCAAATTTAAAATATTAAAATGATTTAACCAAAGTTCAATCAATTAGAGAAAAAAATTAGTGTATCAAATTAATTTGCTTTCCATCGATAACATTAATGATAACAATATCGTATTTGAACTTTAGATATGAAGTAACCTGCTTTCCATTGATGTTTTCAACTCATTAGTCTGCATGATAATTTGTGCAAAAATCAGACACCAAATATGCAAATAATTTATAAACAAAAACATTTGTATTGTCGTGTACTTACCCATTAACAAAGCAATTGAAAAACTTCATTGTATACAACATTTGTAGTGATAGAAGATGATACATTCTCATTATCATTTATTAAGATTTTAAGACAACTTTTGCTTGTAACTCTTGAAATGGCTACACACAATTGTCCATTACTAACAATTGTCCATTACTAAAAACAGGAGTAGGCAAATACAATCCAACGATATCAAGTGATTGGCCTTGAGATTTATTAATTGTCATTGCGTTAGAGACAATAATTGGGAATTTTCTCCTAATCAACTTAAATGGTCACAATGACTCAAAATGTGACATAGACATTCGAGGGATGTAAAAGATGTTATCTATGTTCTTTACAGGCGTGACTAATAAATATAGACTAATAATATGCACTTGTTTTTTAAGTATTAATATGTATTTATAATAAATCATACCGACTATTCACTAACTTCAATTATATAAGATTTAAAAGATGAATATTAAAATTAACAATCTATAATCAGTATCTCATAGATGCGTTCTCATCTACCCGTGAATTAAGATGATTTAACAAACTCAGTTGAATCCAAATGAATTAGTTCTAAAAATTTATTAAATCTATTTTAGATATCAACCCATTTTTCCAAACCTAAAATATACGACAACTCCCGTCAAATTTATACTTTTATATTATATGTGCTCACATCTACATGAGTTAACGAACTTCAGCTGAATCCAAATAAATTAATTTTAAAAATTTATTAAACATATTTTATATATTAATCCATTTTTTCAAATTAAAAATGTATGACATCTCCCGTCAAATTTCAGTTTTAAAACTTTTATATTATATCATATTTACATATTTTTTTACAACCTATAATGTATAACAGTTTCCCGTTAAATTACAATTATTTTTAAAAAGAACATAAAAAATAAATAAAATTTATAGATAAAACTATTGTATATTATTTTCTATATTTATTTAATGAATGAAATTTATTTTAGATGAATTTATTTTCTAATTTTTATTTAAAAATATAACTTAATTGTCATTTAAAACAGTACATTCAATTATTTAACTTCAATTATCTGGTATGTCATAGATACATTTATTCTACCCGTGAATTTATTTCATGTACTCAGTTGGTTAATATTAATATAATTACAATATATAATCATTTATCAAATTTGAATTTCTCATTTATAAAAATAATTTTAAATTATTCTCGTTTATAAAAATGAACGCGTGTGTCTATTTATAAAAATATATGAAACTTATACTCTTTTATAAATATAATTGTATCAATACTTGAATTTTTCCGGTTTATAAAAATATTTATAATTTATTCATGTTTATAAAAATTATTATAATTTATTTTTGGTTTGTAAAATTAATTATATTAATATGTAGACTTTTTCTCGTTTATAAGTGTCTTTAACCCGTGTGACAATTTATAAAAACATTTTAACTTATTCATGTTAAAAACAATTACATCAATATTTGAATTTTGTTCGTTTATAAAAATATTTGTAAGTTATTTAAGTTTATAAAAATAATTATAAAAATAAATATTTATCATATCATCTTAAATTTATTTATTCAACTGTGATAAATATGTGTCTCTTAGTTAATTATATTTATAAATAAATATCGTGTATTAGTGATATATATTAAATTTATTATCTTAATGTCTAACTAATTAAAATGAATTTATTATTGTCAATAAAAAATTATAATATTAAATAATAATACAATATTATTATTATATATGGGAAAAAGAATAAATTAAATCTAAGAATATCGGAAAATTTATTATAATATTAAATAATAATTTAACATTTATTATTACAATGAATCATATATAACATTTCAAAATTATGTATTTATTTCTTATGTTTTATTATATTCGATTTGTAATAAATATTTTTCAGTTTATTGCGAATTTTCAATAATTAAATATTAATGATATTATATAAAATTAATTTCATGAAATAAATTTATTTAATAAAGTGTTATATAAATATTTAATACATTATATTATACCATTAATTTATATAAAATGATATTAACTTATTCCTGTTTATAAAATTATTGTAACTTTTTTCCGGTTTATAAGCATGTTGAATTCGTGTGTCCATTATTAAAATATATGTAATTTACTATTATTGATATAAATAATTTTATAAATAGTTTAATTTATTACATTTATAAAATTATTTGTAATTTATTCACCTTTATAAAATTAATTATAAATTATTTAATTTATTAAAATGATTGTATCAATAATTTTTTATTTTATCATAAATTTTTATGATTATCATTTATCATTAAATTTTCATGATTACCATTTAATATTATTTTATCATGATTACAATTATAAAGTTAATTTGAAAAGATTATGATATATTTTAGTTATTTCATAAACTTAAAAAAATTATCAAATCTCAATTGATTTTGTTTTGTTTTAATAACCTTTTTATAGAAATTGAAATAATTTATTTTAGGTCAAATAAGGATCTAAATAATTACAAAATAATATTTATTCTTACATTTATAGAATGATAAATTAAATATTTAAGATAAACATTAGAGTTCTTATTTACTTTATCTTTTATATATTTATAATATACTTTTTTTGTTAATTTTATTAACAATATATTTATAGTTAACAATACATCCTTTAAACTACGTTGTTTTTTTCAAGAATATAAATGTAAGCTTTCAAAAAATATACACAAATATATTTAGAAGTCGGTAGAAAATTTTATTGGTTAAATTATAATTCCATTCAAAATTTATTGATCATAAATTTTTGAAATCAAATCATGCATAAAAATAAAATGTATTAATGTGACCATTCAAAATATTTTCTATATATAATAAAAATAAATAATATTAATACCTCCATTCAAAAGATATATTTGTAAAGTTTTGATTTAATTTTTTTCATATCTTTATATATTCTAATGTATATAATATTCCTATAATATGAAACAGTATCAAACCTATAATATTAAAAGAGAATTCAAATTTATTCAAATTCAAATTTATTCAAATTTTATTGATCATAATATTTTATGGAATCAAATCATATATAAAAATTAAATATATTTATGTCACCATTCAAAATAATTATAGCAATTAAAAATAAAAAAATATCAATACAAAATAAATAAATTAACCGTGGGAAGTTGTGATAAAAAATAGGGTTTAGAATACATGGGAAGTTGTGATATCTTGGAATATCAAAATAATCTATTCTAATTCCAATAATATACATTTAATCTTGTAGTGTAATGATAAATAGTGGGTATTTTTAAATCATGCAATGAATAATATTTCATTTAATTATAATAGATCTAATTTGGCCATTTCAATTCCTTCCTCATTAACCGTGAGTCAAACATTAG